ATTTTTATATTAAGCATTTAACCTAAATAAGGAAGCAGGAATTTTTCCACCCATTTTTTAGGCTACCTATTAGCTTATGTAGTACGACACCAAGACTTATGTGGCACCACATGGTGGCTTACGTGGTGCCACATAATTAGAAATATGGAGTTCCATGATAAAACTAACAAAGTTGTGTGGGGTAAATGAAAATAAAATAATTTTGAAAGTTAATAGTTAATAAAAATTTAAACTGAAATGCAAAAAGGGTAATAGTTAATAAATGATTTATTAAATTAAGTCTAAAAGAATATAACTTGTAATTGTTGAATTAAATTAAATTTGATATATATTATTTATATGAATAAAATATTTAACTTAATAAATATTGTCATACAAATTGCTCAAGAAGCTCTAATTGCTTTATGACTTTAAGTTCAACATTAATTAAAATGACAACTTACTATACATGTTTTTACTTATGAATAGAATATTTAACTCAATAAATATTGTCATATAAATTGCTCAAGAAACTCTAGTTATTTTATGACTTTCAGTTCAATATTAATTAAAAAGATGACTTATTATGGACGTTTTTACGTATGAATAGAATATTTAACTCAATAAATATTGTCACACAAATTGTTGAAGAAACTCTAATTATTTTATAACTTTCAATTCAACATTAATTAAAAGACCGACTTACCGTACACGGTTTTACTTATAACAAATAATAATAATGGGTTCACTTGTAGCCAAAATTAGATTTAATGCCTCCACTCATGGGTATAAGCTTTTTTTATATTCTTTGTCCATGCCATGCCCAACTAACTTATTCCATACTAAATCACCATAAATTAATATAACCATAGGATAATAAAATGTTTTTTTACACTAGGTAATGGGCTAATTATATAGGGTAACCTTCTTTTTACCAAATTCTTTCTTTCCAACCTCAAATCTCCAACTGAAAAAGTCAATATATTATCAAGCTAAGACATGAAATTTCAATAAAAAATTTAGTACTTTTCTTTTGGTAAAGAAAAGCATTTTATATCTTATCATCCCAAGTAATCTTTACAAGAGATTACCAGCCATTGTGGTGCCCCTTTTCTTTGTTCCTAGCACTAAGTTTGACAAAACACCATATACAGGCTGTTCTATGCATCTTCCTAGCTGAAGCTCTGTTCTGTTGGCTCAATCTCCAAAAGCAGTCCTCTCTGAAATTCCACATAAGGGTAAGCAAGAGGGAAATCCTCTGCTTTTGACTTCCACCTGCAATGAGCAAGTGCAATTTCTGTGAATGGATTTAATATGAATTTGCACCAAAAGTTGGTTCCTAAGTGGGGTGCAGGTGATAAGAGACTAATCCCACATTGGAGACATATAATCTATCCATTTTATTGTTTAATAGGGGACTGTACCCTCCAGTTTTACCTATAGTTGAGGACAAGATGATGAAGGAAGAGGGCAATTTCTACTTTAGCAAGTTCTGCCCCAGGACACAGCCTTGGTCCACCACCAAATGGCATCACCTTTTTCATCATAGCTTTATCCTGTCAAAAGTCAAAACCACAGAAATTTTATACATCATATGGGCTACTCCAGGCATCATATCTGCTGCTTGTGGGGATATAGGGTTTTGAGAGCTACTTACAGTCCATCTCCAGGGATTGAATTCCCCAGGATTTTCATGGAGGGATGGATCAAAGTGTGCAGCTGTGAAGACAGGTAGGACCTTCCATCCTGAAGGAATTAGATATTCTGCAGTAATCCAGATGATAGTGTTTAGGGGAAAAACATTAAAAAAAAAAATAAAAATGAGTGGAAGATGAGAACTCAAGTGTTTTTGAAAATTAACCTTTGAACTTGACATCTTTTAGTGCTTTCCGATGCACAAATTTGACAACATTTCCACACCTCATTGCTTCGTGTACAACATTGTAGGTGAACTCCATTTTCTGGTAATCTTTCCAGGTCAAGGACTGGCCTTCCTCTTTACTTTTCCTTATTGCATGGTGTTCTTCCTGATCATGATTGTTGAACAATTAAAAGAACCATACATACATGCAAGAGGAAAAGAAAGAGATGATGAGCCACCTTTAAGTTTTCAAAGGCATTTGGAGATTGAGCAAGGAAGTAGACTATTAAGGCCAAAAGGGTAGCTGTTGTTTCATAGCCTCCAAGCAAGATATCCAGCACAATGCTGATTATTTCAGTATCGCTCAGCCTCCATTTTGACAGAATCACATCTAAGAAATCTCCTTTTTCCATCCCCATATTCCTCTTATGCCTTTCTTTTATAATTTTATGGACAGTAGAAGAAAGTCTTGCTCTAGCCTGCAGAAGCAATTGAAAAAGGAACTACATTGAATGATTGAATCAGCTCAGAATTTCCAGTTTTTCCTCAAACTACCTATCTGTAGTATATACCTTCACTGCACTGGCATAAGGTGTCCCAGGGAGATATACCGGTAAAGACACAAACCCCTTCATGTAAGTTTGGAAATCTTCAAGTATCTCTAAGGCCAGTGGCTCTTCTGGTTCAATACTCAGAAGGTGCTTCACCATTAGATTCATTGTAAACTGTGTCAAAAACAGGAGCAGAAGTTAAAAACTAGATGACAGGAATTCAATCATAGCTGAAATACATATCATATACCTTTTTAACTTCTCGATAGAAGGTAATTTCTTTACAATCTCTCCATGAATTCATCATTGAAACTGACAACTTCTCAACACAGTGAAGGAATTCTGGAGTTGATTTGGATGTGCTAATGAAGCTAACAGCAATGTTTCTCAGCTTCTTGTGAAGGTCTCCAGACACTATAAGTAAAGAGAACTGGCCAAGAATGCCATGGAGGGGCTTGGGGTAGCTGGCCTGAAATAGCCTCTCTTCATTCTGAAGAATAAACATATTGAGCTCGTGGTCACAGGAGACTATGGTTGGGGAACCAAAGAGATGAGATTTGAATACTCTTCCATACCTGTTTAGGAGTAATTTAACAAGTTCATTGATATCAATGCAATGAAAGGCTAATTGGTCTAATTGATCTCCTACTAAACTTTCCAAAAGAATATGGAGATTTCAAGACATCAAAGAAAAAACTTAATGAAGGCAAACTAAAGGGTGCTCTAATCATGCAAAGAAAGTCGTATAAAAAGCTTCTGTAAATGTACACATACTTACCTAGAGCAGTGTTCTTGCAAGAAACTCCCAGTGGAGGTTGATCTATGAGGCTTGAGAAAGGCAAGAGTTTCGCCACATAGAGGCCAACCCATGCTGCCATTTGGTAAGTTTTTCAGCTCTTGTTTGGGAAGAAATTGCAGAAGAAGCAAAGGCAAAAACAGTGCTATCAGTAAGGGAAATAGGATAGGAAAGAGCCAAACCATGCTGATCTCTTCACAGCTGTCTGCTAATTTGTCTATCCCTTAAAGCTTATAACTTGAATATGAATCACCAAAACTTGTGAAATAGTACAAAAAGAATTGCTGGGTTATCATACTGTAAGCTGGGTCAAGGAAACTGACAAACACCTAGTAATTGTGTGTTTGACAAAAATGCCATATTAGATTCAGATATCAGATTAGAAACGGCATGTACATATTGCACCAATGCTAAATCAGAAAGTATTATAGATGATACTCATAAAAAGAAGGACGAATTTTTTTCATAATACATCATTATCCTTCACCATTAATTGATTTGAAGTTCTAAAAGAGGAGTCATAATCATGATGCTAAGAGATAAACGAGTTAAAAGGAAGTCCCAAACCCCACCCCTTCCTTTTTCTCCTCCTTATACTTGGAAAAGCTTAAAGAAGGTTTGGCTTTCAAATCCCAACATTCTTCAAGCCTAGATGCTACCAAATTCTCTATTGTCAGGCCCTCCTCATGTCCAATCAAAAACCGAAGAGGGCAGCAAAAGGTGAGGGCAAAATATAACAAAATGAAACAAAGGGTTCCGTAAAGGAGGGCAAGGAGGGGTCATGGCTGGAAAAATTATACTGTTTAAAAAGCTAAAGAGGGAACAATACCTTTTGATCAAGTTTTATCCTTTGTCTAATGCTACCTTATTGGTGTCGATGGAGATGTTTTCAATTGAAACCCGACCAGAACTGTTGACTGTCGAAATCTTTAGGTTTGCATCATCAATAAAACACATTTTCCGGCTTTTGTAGTGAGCTTTTTAACTGGTACGGAGGCATTGAGGAGGGCAGCAAACGAGCTTAATGAACTTATTACTCTGTCTCACCTCATCATAGCTTGCATGGTGCACGTGCAAATGGATTATGGACCCACCAAAGAAAGAAAATTGTTGGCATCTAGAACAAGAACAATATCTAAAATAAGCAATTAGCTGGATATCATTCATTTTTCAATCATGATTACTTACCTTCCTTCCTCTTTCTTCTCCTCTTCCTTGCCTCAATTCTCAAATCAATACAATCCCTTCCTTCTCAAATCCATACATCTATGATAAAATAAATAAATAAAAATAAAAACACATATTTATCCTCATATTGGTAAAGGTTAAACATCTATGATTTCTGGGGTTGAAAGTGATAATGTTAGAACTACAGTTTGGAAGTTAGGGTTCTCTAGAAAAGTCTTGCTGTTGAATGCCCTCATTCAAGATCGCATTTTGTTTTCCCTTGCCTAGTTTATAGGCATACATACATAGTTCTTCTCTTTTTTGTCATTGTTAGGTATTAAGCATATTAAACATCCTATTAATATGAAATTCAACCTAACCAGGTTAATCAAATTAAATGCATTGAAAAACCGGTGAAACATGCCATCCTCATCATATCAAACCCCTGTTTTTGACATCTTGCCCGGAATGGGTGGGGAAGGACAATCATTCAAGACAATATTCTTCTCTAAGCATCATGTGTATGCGGGCTTGATGTTTTTAATTATGAGAATTTAGTGCACGTTTTTGCAGGCAAATCATGATTGTTCTCAATTTTTTCTTTGCCTTTTCTCTGCATACTTTTTGGGTTAAGCCAGTCTCACAAAGGAGCAGCTTCCTTCTTTGTTTCTTAGTTGGCATACCATTTTTGAAATTGAATAAGCAGAACCAAGAAAAGTAGGGTTTTCAGTAAAACTGAGTTCATACAGAGGCCTTGGTTTGAACATTTGATGCACAACAACTGGAACCACGTACGAAAAAAAGGCGATGTTGAATTAAACAATGAGTGGGTCCTAATTGATACAAAACCACAAACAAGTTATCTGCATCTCCTTTTCTTTCTTTTTTTTTTTTTTTCCCTGATGAAAAGTCCATTAATCTCAAGAACCTTGAATCAATTCAAGACACATGCATCCTATTCACTCAAAACCCAAGCCATGGCACCCATCTATTACGGTGAATTCACACACTCCCCCTCCTCTTCTATTCAAGACAAAAACTCTTCCATTAAAGATTGCAAGCAGCATAAATGAAAACAATGAAA